ACTAATAGGATGAATTGGCATGTTCTTGTCCTTCCTTATGAACTATAATTGTTATTCAGGGTTTCGGTGTCATATTTTCTTCTTTTTAGAAGAAATTGAAGTTTAGTCTTTATTCCAAGATTTTCTCTTTTCTTCTGCATTTATAAGCATGGATAAAATCTTAAAGTTTTAAATAAAAATTACAGATATAGTGGTGAATCTTTTCAGAAATCTCATAGCCTGCATTAGTATTTTTCTCTGTGGAAATATGACAGTGATAATTTGGTGCACTTGGTGTGCTGCCATTTTTGCTGAAAAGATGGGAACTACTTTTAAATCTGTAAGTAACTCTCAACATTTTTTTGTATTGTACTTTTTTCTTATGTCAACACCTATGTAAATTTTTATTTCCAAATTGTTGACATGATCTTTTCTCTAGGCTGTTAAAAGTGACATTTTCTATTTTAGATATGCAGTCATCTACTAGTGATGAAGTATTTTACTTATTTTGAGGATTTTTCATTAGTTTGATCATGGAATATGCTTCCTGCATTTTAAGATTTTTTTGGATGTCACTTATTTCTATTTTAGCATTTTATCACCTTATTTCTTTTTATTTTTTAGTAAGGCTTAAGGCAGATATTGTGGACCTCCTTTAAGGATGAGATTCTTCTAAGAATTCACACTGATAAATTATTAGGCTAGTGATGGTGAGCCTTTTAGAGCTTTCAGTGATACAGCTACTACAGCATGTGTGGCATAAGTTTGCCACCACTGGACTAGGTTAATACTATTGTTGAGATCTTTAAGAAAAATCATTTTAATGTTGCTGTCCACTTCCCTTTTATTTTTTCTAAGAGAAATATATTATTTTTATGTGTAAAATCTCCCAAGTTCAGAACCTGAGGTTAATAAGTAGTCTTCTTATGTAGTATGTTTTGTCATGCTCCTAAAATAGGCCTCTTCTGGACCAGACCAAAGTGACAAAATAATCAGTATTCGTGTTTTACTCAGTTTGCATTCACACTTGCTTACTCAGCACTTTGAGTGCTTTGAACTTCTTTCTTTAAAAAGCAGGAAGCAATAAGGTAATTTAATCCAAGCATTCTGGTTATCAAAATTACTGTTTTAACATGAAAATAAATGACTGTGTGTGTGTGTGTGTGTGTGTATGTTCACTTTGTTTTTTTCAGTGCTAATATAGAATTATTTAACTCTTGTTGCCTTTATTTATTTTTCTCAAACATTTGACTTTAATGATTGTTCTTAACCTAAGGAAAAAGTTTAATTCAACTAGTGGTAAATACTTGAACTTAATTGAACCCAAGCCAGAAGATTTAATCCATTCAGTTTCCCAATTTGAAGGAAAATGTTTGGTTCACTTTCATTGTTTGTGTTATGATAATGAAAGGAGGCTGGTTGAATGTAATCAAGACTCTTAATTTAATTTGATTTGATTGTTCACTGTGGCTAGAGCTAGATAAGTTCTAGAACATTTAAAAATGGGAATTGAATTTTCAGTCAATAACTAAATGATGAAATGAGGTTGTATGGCTTATAAAAGGTACATTTATTTTTCACAAAGTAATGTAAAATATAGGTATTTATTTTAAAAGCAGCTAATATTAATATTGATAATTGAACATTAAATTTATCGATGACCACATCGCAGTCACTTAAATATGTATTGGTTATCTAGAAGGGGAGGGTGTAAGAAAGAAAATGACTTTATCTTGTTCATGCTCTTTTGCAAGAAAAGTGGCTTTTTAAAAAAGGAAGACATTTATATTATGAAACTATTTTGGAGATTCATTCCTTTACAAAAATAAACGTTGAAATAAAAAAAGCTAATCTTTTGTTGAAAACTATTTCTCCTATGAGGAATTCTTTGGTGTTCATTCTAAATTAAGCCAAGAAAGTCCTGAATAAGTCTCATTCATTCAACAAGTATTGATCAAAGAGGATCTAGCCTTCTTAGTTTACAGCCTGATAAGGAAACAGGTAAGCAGGCAGTGATGGCTAAGTGGCAAAGTCTGTGAAGGGAGGCACAGAGGAGAGATCTTCACCTCAAGAGGAGCCTTGGGAGGAAGTGAGGTCTCAAGGTTGCATCCCAAGGGATGAAAAGTTGCTAATGAAGAGTCACCAAAGCATTGGATACACCACAGCTTAGGTAGGAGAAAGCATGGTGCTTTGTGTGGGAACTGAGAATGGTCCTAAAATGGCTCACGGAATCTGGCAAGAGATGAGGCTGGAGGGTTAAGATGAACCAAATCATGAAGGATCTTACATGTTATCATAAGAAGTTTGAGAGTTACAGTTTTCATAATTAGCTTTTTTTTCTATTGCAGACCTCACAAATTAGAGATATTACCATTTTGTTTGTCACAAGTAAACAGGAGCTTGCAAAAATAGGCATGTGAGTAGAAAAGATTGAACAGGGCAGATATCTGCCCGTAGGCTTCTTGTAAACTTGGTCCATGGCTGGCTTTTAACAACTTGAGTGACAAACAGTTTCCAACACTGCTATAAAACTTTTTCTAGCTGGTAAAGGTGAGTTGTATGTCTAGATTATGTGAATAGGATGACTTATGCTGACAACCCATTTTCCTTCTGTGACTGTGAGCTTTGATAATGGGGCACGCAAAAGCTCACTATGTGACTTTGGATACTGGGTCTCTAAGAAGCGTTCCTAGGCAGATAGCTGGGAAATATTGCTGCGCTTTCCTTGCTGGGGGAAGAGTGTCATCTGTGTGACCTTTCATGAGAGGAAGGGAACATCAGAAAGCCAAAGGATGGACTCCTCTAGACTCAGACTCCATATGTCTTTTCCCCTATGAACCTCTGTATTTCTTTACTGCAACTCTGGAGTAAATCTTAGCCATGTACATCTGTGTACTGAGACCCATAAGGCCTTCCAGTGAGTCTTCTAACATAGAGGAGGTCTTGAGGATCCCCAACATGCATGCTGTATTTACCCATAAATCTTTATTGAATGAGCAAAAAATTGAATTGTCAAAGAGAAGTATTATTGTTCATATTACACATATAAAATACGTATGTGTGTATATGTATATGTATACATCAAAACTATATATGCAAATCAAAATTTGTTTAACCCATGTTTCTCAAATTGTCAAACTTGGTTCTGAATGACTTTTAACTTTCATCTTTAAATGATAGAGATGTGTCAAGTTTGAGGAGAGTGAAAAGGAGGAGCTACTAGCTCTAAGGCAATTTCGGTTCAGAAGATCCAGAAAAGAGTTTAACAACAGCAAAAGCTCTTGGAATGTTTATAGCATCCCAAGAAGCCTTTTCTTTTCTTTTGTACTTGAAGAGATGCTTAATTTTGCAGCTTCTAGTATGCTAAAAGCAGCCACGTTATTGTAGTGCAACATCTTAATGCAGCCAGCCTCTTTTGTTACATTAAAAACGCATTAGTATTTATGGAATAATAGCCGCAGACTAGACACTGTCATATAATTTATATCAGGAAATTTTACTCTAGGCTTCCTGTAAGAGAATTTCTTTTTAAACAACTAAAAGGCATTCCTGACCTTTTATTGAGTTTCACAGAGTGCCTGAAGGAGCCTATATCTGACCAGGAAACCTTCAAATTTCTTGTGGCTTCATCTTCATTTTTGAAAATTCCTTAGAGTTCTGTCCTTTCTTTCTTGGCCCCTGGCAATGGTGTCATCCTGTTGAGCAGTCCTCCTTAGACAGACCTTGTAGCTCCCTGCCCTTCTCTTTGTCTCTGCACTGAGAAAGGACTGTGAAATAATGATGGGTTTACTGCTCTCTGCTCTCTGTTGAACCTTGAAAACATCTATAGTAGCATTTTCTATCATCTAGAAGTGGAGAATATTACTTCTTAAACGTGGCTAGGCTTATTTTTGATCTTTATTTCTTGTTGAATTGGAGATTATAGTTCACAAATGGACTTTAGTATAGAAGGTCTCTGGAGTTAGTATACAGTGTCAAGTGATTTGCTAACAGCATGCGGTTTCACAAGGGTAGTTTTCTTTTTTTTAAATTAATTTTATTGGTACATTTTAGGTATACAATATAATGACATTCATCATTGGAAATTTGTACCTTTACATAATCTATCTTGGTTCTTATTTTTTCCCATTCCCCTGGCCTCCTTTCAACCCCTCCAGCCCTCTCTATTTACAAAGACTTTGTTTCCAGTTTTTCCTTTTCTCATATTAATTCCTTTCCCTTCTTTCCTTTCCATAATCCCTCCCACTTCCCCTTCCCTTTTGGACCTTTTCTTCCTGTTTCACAATATCTGTTATCCCTTTTGATCCTTATTTACACTTTCAGTTAAGGGTAGCTTTCTTAATGAGTTATTTACATATTTCTACTTTTGCTTCAATGTCTTCTCATCCTATATTTTCCCCTGTCTTTGCTTATCCTGTTGTCAGATAGCCATAATATTTATTTTGGTTCTTATTTCACTTACAGATGAAAGCTTTATATTGCTTGTTCATAATCCTAAAAGCAAATGAAACCTTTTAACTGTATTTCTTTGTTTATAATGACTTAGTGGAAATGCCTATTATTCATGTGAGCCTAGATCAGTGATGGTGAACATTTTGGAACTTTCAGTGATACAAACAGCCTGCTGAGGGATATGTGCCATAGGTTCACCACAACTGGCCTAGATTCTTTTAGTGATGTTTGAATGGGGGGAGTGTCTCGTTTATTTTACTTGATTTTATGCTTCTGAGCCAGTTGCTTTAATGGAAAGTATATTTTCTGTTGATTATATAACCTTACTTAGCATCATACAGTATGAAGAAAAAGTTTAGTTCTAAATAAAGTGAAGGTAATTTGTGTAGGACCTTGTATTTAGAAGCTGTTTAATAAAATGAGTGTTGCAAGATTTCCTGGTGTTTGTGACCTCATTCATTTTAGAAGAAAATTTCCTGAAAGTCCCTATATAAAAACTGATTTTTCATTCTAAAGAGAAATCAATGTTGTAACCTCTGCATTGTGGGATTTGATATTTTCTCTTCCAGATTTCCAGAGACATGGTCTTTCAGAGCCTACACGTCTGTACTGTATTTTGACCCTTGTATGAGAATATTCATTCAAGCCAAAAAAGTTCAAACAAAACACCTATGCTATTGCCTCTACAGACCTAGGTAACTCACCTTCTTTCAATTATTTTCCTAGACTTCCTTTATAAAATTGATATAATTGTCAAATAGATAGAAATTGTCAAAGTGAGGGCACTGATTTTGATACAGTGTTTTGGACTGCAAACAAAATTCAGACTGCATTCAGGAAGGTTTGCTAATGAGTATTCATGTATGACAATATATTTGACAGGAATAGCAACACACTGCAGTGAACATCTAAGATAAACACTCCAAAGTAGAAATTTGCTTTTCATTTCAGCAAATCTCAGGTGCTTTGATTGTGATCGATTGGATTAAAAGATCACAGTTCACTTATATTTTCTGCTGATACAATATATTGAACTGTTAAATCACATACACTCTTATACCATATAATGATGTTTTAGTCAATGATAGATTGCATATATGTTACTGGTCCCATAAAATTATATCTCCTAGTGATGATATAACTCTAAGTACATGCTATACTTACTGACACATTTCTCAAAACATGTCCTTATCACTAAGTAGTGCATGACTGTACATATTTGTTATATATATTATACATACAGAATGAACAAATATATAATATGTGTGACCCATTTATATTTTATTTACTTTTATATTTTAGCATAAACTATGTTAAGCTTACATTTGCATATTATAAAATCTATTTTGTCCAGCTATTCACGTAACTTGTATGTCTGAGATTTTACCAGGTAAAAGGCATTTAAAAAGATAAGATTAATTCTCATTTTAAGGAGCTTACTATCTACTAGGAGAAACATTTAATGCTTAGGCAGGTCTATATAGGTACCTTTTACCTGCATCATCCTTTGATTCCTGCAGTGATCCTGTGGATTGGGTTTTATCATCACCATTCTAGGGATCTGGATAAGAACTCAAATATTCTAGCTCCAGTTCTTACCAATCCCGATTTGATGCTCCTTGCACATACTACATTAACCTTGTATTCTAGACTTACATTTTTTCATGTCTTGTTTTCATAACAAGTAGTTCCTGCCCTAGGGCCTTGCAGTCATTCATATTGACATTAATATTGAAAAATATAGATCTTTGTACTGTATGCACTATTCAACAATGGATTCTTCAAAAGTTTAAATTTTGCCTTCTGATTATACTAATAATCTTTTGAAAATAAAGTATACATAGCCCGAGACTTTCTCTGTAAATCAGTCTGTCCATTACCTAGTAAACATCAAAATAATGTTTTCACTGGCCTCATTGTTCTGGGACCCAGAGTCTCCTGGAACAATCAGTAAGCTGATTTAATTATTCCTCCCATTGAGTTTGAATAAAAAATGGTGTAAACTGGGCCAAGGATGGAGCTCAGTGGAAGAGTGCTTTCAAGATCCTGGATTTGTTTCCAAGTATCACAAAAAGAGAGAGAGAGAGAAGGAGAGAGAGAGAATATTTGTTGCCTCTAGAGGAAAATCAAAGATTTAAGTCAATGGAAAATAATGTGTTTGTCTCTATTTTCTGAGGGAATTTTAGTAAACTGAGTTTCATATACCTAAATTACTTATACCAAATGTGAGTTGTTTTCCATTTAGTATATCTTTTATCCATCTTTTAAAGTGAAATTCTTAGAGATATATTGCTAGAAAATAGGTTTAATGTGTCACGTGCATATTTGTTTGTTTCCTAAAAGAAACTTCAGGAGGCTTAAAACTTTACCAGGTTTCATTTAGCACTTTGATAAATTGTGAAATCTGATGTTTGATATCTGTGGTATGGAAAGTATTTTTTAATGGCTTTATAACTTAGGACTTGCCTCTCTGTTCATTCACCATATTTATATGCATATCATTTCCCTCATAGATTCTCCAGTGGGAAACTTCTTGAATAAGAAACACTTGGCATTTCCTCCTTCTTCTCACACCCCAATAGGATAACCCCTACTTTTTTACTTTCCCACAAGGCAGCGTAGCTCTGTTTTAAAATAGTTTAAGAGCTGAGATTGACCCTATTTCTCTAAAGCAGGGCATTTAAAGGCTATTTTGAAGTGATTATTCATCACTTTGCCACTCTGACTCCAGTAAGATCCTGGGAATGAAATATCAACCTAAAGCTATGCCTAAACGGACTCTGTAACCCTGAAGTATTATAACAATAGGTGACTATATTTCATACTCAATTATTTTTCTCCACTTTTGTAAGCAGCAGGAAGTGCGTGGCCCCTGTGTGTGCATCTGTCATTGCTGTAGCTACTGTACCCCAGTGTCCCCATCCCATTCAGAGAAGGCCACAGGAGAACATCTGGTGCCATCTCAATGTTTTCTCTCCTTGATCGTATTCTGTTCACCGTATCTATTCATGACTTGGAAAAAAACCCACATGCTTTTGGAACTCATCATTGACCATGACCTAGGAGTATCTTTTATCAGGCATAATAGAAGCAGGATGTGAGCTGAAGTCCAATAGATAAATGTGAATAAAAATGTATGGATCATCATATAGATTTAAAAATCTATTATGTAGGTACAAGCTTGACTGTGATTTACAAGAGAAAAATGCATAGGTGGTTTAATTAGACACAGTTTAGTATAAGCTGAGATTGTGACAGGGTTATTAAAAATGGTATGGAACTTAAAAGCTTACATGGTGCTTGGAGGGAGATAACCAGTTAGGGATCCTTCAGGAGGGATGAAGACTTACTGAAAACTATCTAGCTCACAAGAAAATAACCATCTGGTAAGGAGCCATTGATAGATCTGTGGAGGAAGGAAGACTTAGGCTTGAGTGAAAACATGAACAACATCATGTGATGGAATTCTAGAACCAGAACATCTATAGCTGAATTCAAGTAGATGACAATTGCAACTGGCTCAGCATGAAAGTGATAGGCTACTTTTATAAGGAAGAGACACACTGATCTCATTTTTCCAACAGTGCTTAGTATAAGGTGTTCAAGAAGTAAAGTGGTAAGGAGCCATTAAAGCTTCCTCAGGGTCACGGCTGACTCAGTGTTTCCATGCTAGAGAACTGAAACAACACCCCAGTGTTGCTCAGGAATGGAGCCAGACCTGGGTTCAGGTGTACCTAGCATTTGCTTCTGTAACAGTGGATCTTCCACAGTGACATTCAAGATTCTCTTATTTGGCAGAGTTTGGGGATAAGCTACTTCACGATGGCATGCTTGATCCCTCGTATAGCTTCCTTTGGTTGAACACTAGTCCCTGGTCCAGTTAGCAGATTTAATCTCCAGAACACTACAACCAATTTGGTTTCTCAAGCCACTGCTAGCTTGAGGTGCATCAACTCAGAGAGGGCCATGAGCATAGTAGGGGATTAATGAAGTTGCTCATGTCCTCCAGCACCTAAAAGGACTTCCATCTAAGATGAGCTCAGATATGTCTGTGGAGGAGTCCAGATTGTAGAGGAAATTACTACTTTGGGAAGAGTTTCAGCTAGGTGATTTCCAAGATTTCTTCCAATTTAAGATTTCTTAGAAGCCTCTAGTTTTTGGAGTCTTAAATATTGTGTACTTAATATGGAAAGGTTATATATGGCTATGTTACTTGGTCTTAGGCAACAAATGTTACTGATTTTTCATTTGTATAATCTTTAGCTTTGAATTTTTTAGCTTTAGTAGAGAAGGAACTCTCAGATTTATATAGGCATTAAATCTGCACATTAGCACTAAAGAATG